AGATTTGCCACTGCTTTCAATCTTAGTTTTATAGATCTAAACTTATAACTTCTTTCTTCAACTCAAGATATAATAGAAAAAAATATTTTTCTAATTGTGCAGTGTATAGTAATAATGGGGGCTGATGAATTGTCTTTAGTTGAATGAAAGTTTTATTAAAATTTTCATACTATAAAATTATTTTACACTCTTTAAACGTCAAGAAAGAATAATATTTGTCCCAAGATTTTGATATAAAGCGACTCAAACCTATCACTCTTTCTATTAATTAGTTCTTTGACATTTTGATGAGGCATCTCTAATATTTATTTTACCTTTTTTGAGTTTATTTTAATAGTAAGTAGAAAAATCTGAAAATTTTCTTAACTCAAAACTAAAAGAGTACTTAGGAGAGTCGAGTCTCTTGTAGAAGTTCAGATACACATAGTTTTTAAATATTGCAAATATTTTCTTTGAAATTAGGATATATCATGCAAGAGTTTTACTCTTTACAAATATATTATTGTTATAAAGCTTAATGTTATTTAGCTTTTATTTTTTAAGATGAAATTCATAATTTATCTTACCACCAATGAGACAGTTATTTTCTAGCCAAATGGCATAACGTTATATTAGTATAAACAGTCACCAATGAGACGGCAATGTTTTCAAAATTCATAAGATGCAATTACTTTGATGATAACTTGAAGATGCATCAAAACAACTTAGTGGTTAACTATCTTTATGACAAATATAGTTTAAGTTGATAAAATTAGGGCATATTCTTTTTTTCGTTGAAAAATATATTTTATATATGACACATTTTAAATGAATCCATCCTTCAATGGGTTTTGAATTTCATAGCCATTATGTTTTGAATTCCATCATAACTCTTAACAGAGTAAAGGTTAGATATTGGTGATATGGAGGCAACCTCTTTCTTTTACCCACAATAAAATTTCTTACACGGGCAATGTTCTCAATTTTGTGGACATTGGTGGTAATATTATTATGGAAATTAATGGTGTGGCTTCTGCATTGTCAAGAAATTATTTTTAAGGTAACCTCCATTGTCCTTGGAAAATCATCAAAAATTTCCTATATAACTTAAAGTCATGTGACTACTTGAAGTTGACGCAACTAATTTAATATGATTTTTCTCAACTCATTAATATGATTATTGGCAAGTTCAAGAAACTCAACCAAAGTCCTTTGTTGCTCCCTAGTGAGTGCATATATAAAAAGTACCTCCCTTAGATATGTTATTCAATTAAGTTTTGGAGATATCAATAATCATATGTATCATGACCGATCCTTATTAAAAACATAATACATGAAGGGATCATGGGCTTGTGCATTGGCCCTCATCAAAATTGGTCGACAAAATTAATCACTTTCTTGGATAACTTCAACAATCTCAACTACTAAACTTTCAAAGGAGTGAGTGTTGGATATATTTGTGAGGTGGAGGCAACATTTTTCATTTGCCCGCATAAAAATTTCTATTCCCACTTCATGAGGTAATATTTTCTATATTTTAGTCATTGGTGGTAATGCCATTGCGATTGCTAGTGATATGACTTCCCAATCAAGTTGAAATTATTTTTTAGGTGACCTTGATGCACTGAAAAATCTTTAAAAATTTCCTGCCAAACTAAAGTCATGCTACTTGAAGTTGAAGCAACTTATTGAATATGGTAAAAATAATTATAATTATTGGCAAGTTCAAGAGACCCATTGAAGCCCTTGGTTATTGTAGAGTAAGTGCATATCTAAATTACCCAATATAGACCTTGAGTGAACACAAATTGTGGTATGGGCAACTCCAAGTTCTTGACCTCCAAGATTTCCTGCTAATTTCAAGCAATAGAAACTCACATAGAATCATCATCATCTTACCTTATTTTTGTTAAATCTTGAGAATTCTTCAAAGACTTCTAGTCAATCGCAAACTAGCTAGGCCACAAACTACCTTTTGAGCTTGATAAAGGAGGTTATACTTCTAAGCAAAAAACAGGAGAACCATCTTAATGTCAACACCATTAATGGTGTAACGAACAATTACCATCTTATGCTAGATATGCTAGATCATTTTTCCTTTGTAGTTTCCAACTCAAAATAAGTAATATATATGTTGATCCTTTTTTCCTTTGTATAAATCTAACTATGAGGTCTTGAATTTTGTTGGACGTTATGCCTCAATAATTTATTTGAAAAATGCAATCATTAGTTATAGTGTATGCTAGCTTCTCATCCCTTTAAGATCAAAGTGTTTCTTCAGAATATTGTTGGTGTCAAAATCATTGCTCTCAAGCTTGTAGTTGTCAATGGATAATAGAAACTAAAGATCCATCCTTAGGAACTTCTACAAGTGTAGTGATTATAGAAATACGCCCCAAAACATTTTGGATTAGTGTAGTAAGTATTTTATCCATATGATTGAGCTGCCTACCATTAGAGAGGTCTTGGTTCTCTAGTTCAGTCGATATCTCCCCATTATTTTATCATTCGAAAGCTTAGCTTAAACCACTTAGCATTTTTGCATGCTCACTACATCTAAAATGATGTTAGATTTCAATTTGTTTGTGGGAAACATATCAAAATCTTATTGACAATAATAACTAATAAATAATACAGCAAAATTACCAAAATATTTCGTAAAGATCTCATATAATAATTATGATATAAGTATTTAGAAATATTTTCAATGACTCCTTTCATTAAGATAAAAGGTCCTAGGTGGTGCGTAGGTCACTTAGGAGAGTAATCACCTTTTTATTCGTGCCAAAAAAAAGCAAGCATTAGGTGACTCCTACATCCATTGTTCCATTTTTTGTTAATTTTTCCTTTTTTTAATCTAGATTCTTACCGATGGCGAAATGTACATCCTACAATTATTAGAAAATTTTATAGCAATAATGCATAGCACCACCAATGGAGTCGTCCTTTAACTACATATCTAAATTGCCAAAAAAGTTTGGTAAAGAAATTGCATAATGATTATGATAAAAGCATTTGGAAATGCTATTAGTGCCTCTTGCTCACACTAAATTAGGAGGGCTAAACAAAAATCTGGCTAAAAAAAAATTTTTAAAAAAAAAAAAAAAAAAAAAAAAAAAAACAGAGGGCCAAAGTGGTGCATGAGGAACTTAGGTGAGTGACGGTTTCTCTACCCTTCCCAAGAAAAGCAAGTTATGAGAAACACCTATCACCTATGATCGCGAGGAATTAGTTAGTTTGAAATGCTGAAGTAATGTGAAATGGTGGCCTTCCTACCAATGTTAAAAAGGTAGAGATGTGTTACTATTGTTCTGGGTTCTGATCGGACCTAAGACTTCCCTATCAAAAAATGGCTTGCAACATCAAGACAATGTTGACGTGAATGAGGGATCAAGCATGCCTTTGATGCACTTCGTGAGGTTAGTGCTTCACTTGCTTTTATTCTTATCACCTCCACACAGTTCCCATGAGGTGTTAAATAAATATAAGGTGAGAAGGAAAACATATTCCCATTTGGCAATGAAAATATAAAGGGAGGGGTAGGTTTAGTTTCATCTACTATATAAAGATGAAGAAGCCAAGAGAAAGGATAAATGAGGTAGTGGCCTCCTTTTGAATTAGACTTGTTCTAAAGCTCAATAATTTGATTCAGCAAGCAAAGCCGAACTACTAATGGTAGATAAGACATGAAAGAAATGTGTGTGAGTTGTGGTAAATGAGAAATATGTAGAAGGTGAAAATGAACGGTTGAAACTTTTTGGTAGATAAATAATAAGGGTTCTCAATATGTATAAACTCGTTCAGTCTCCTTAAGTTTAAGCAACCTAGTAAGAGGCAAGGCCTCCAAGAGAGTGAAAGAAAAATATACCAAAATATCTAAAGAGAGTTTGATGTGTGAGCTAAAGAGTTACTTTTTGTAAGAAGTTATCAGTTTGACTTCATCAAAATTGATTTTATGCGGTAAATTTTCAGCAACTCTTTTACCTGGAAACAAAAAATTCTTATGATGTAGGTGCCAATAAGCTTAATTGATAAAGAACTTGGAAGTTATTGCTAAGATATTGAGACTGGATCCCGCTCATATCAAATTTATGCTTTCTTTCAGGAAATAAAAAATAAAAAATTTGCGCCTTAAGGAGACCGGGCAGTCCTTTTCTTTATATGGTGCAGGGTAATATGAAGTTATTTTGGCTAGAATATATTTTGCAATAAGTTGCAATCCCTAATAATCAGAAGAAAACTACCTTTGCAACGAACTCCCTGATAGCAGACAACTACCTAGGCACTAAACTTGTCGTTAAACGTGCAGAGTAAGCATCTTTGTACTAGATTTAACTTTCTAAGTACAAAAAAAGATCAATATAATGGACCAAGCATGCTAGAACACCAGGGAGTGAATTTCCAGATCTTTTTCTTGAAGGCATTCGGTTCGAGATGCTTTTCAATTTTCTATAATTGCTTGGCATATAAATGCTACCACTTATTTCCAGCTTATTTTGATGTGGGGCAAGCGTTAAGTAAACGAAGTTGGCATTTCAGTGTTCTTCAGTATAAAACCAGCATAGTTTAAGCCTGAAGGTGTCTAATGTTAACTACTTGCTGGAGCTTCTTTCATGTAGGTGAGTAATTAAACTGTATATCTATTATTAATTCCTGAGCTCAACCGCTCGAAGACTTAAAACTACTATAGCTTGAACGAACATCTTATTATAGAACCTCTTCTATCTCTCAAGTGTTATTGTGTAAATAAAATAACAGAGTGAGCAAAAGTAGAAATGCGAGATGAAAATTAGATCAGTTGCAGTATTAAATATAATTCCACCTCAAACCTTATAAATCTTAGTTTTAAACCCAACTAATTTTAATATACTACACTGCAAACCTTGATCACCTGTTTGGCATTGGCCATTTCAAGCTTTATTTCTTTTTAAGTTATGCCATCTATGAGAAGTCTTAACATTATTTGCATATGTGGATAATTATTTGCAGCCTTGACTAACTCTTGAATTAATGGAATGTAGGCTGATTGGCACCTTGAATATCACAAACTGAAGGCAAGGGTTGAAAGCCTACAGAAGAGCCAAAGGTAAACTCTTATATTTGATTGATGTTCTTAACAGTACCAATCAAGAAGTTCTGTGCCGTGACCATTTTCTCAATATTTAAGGCACCTTATGGGGGAGCAACTCGATTCCTTGAGCATTAAAGAACTCCAACATCTAGAGCAACAACTTGAAAGTTCCATGAAGCATATACGATCTAGAAAGGTATAACTCCCATCACCTTTAAAGAATCATTCACGATCGACGCTAGTTAAAGGAGGGAGTAGCGAGCACCAATTTTCAAGATGAAATGTAGCTAATGATGAAATTCTAAAATTTCAATTAAAAGTCAAATAGAATAACTATATGGTAAATGAAATCTTGTAGATTCATGAAGTTATATCTACATTTCATGGTGAGAAGGAAAGTGAAGTTTTGTATTTCCTATTTTTATTTCTTATAGTAAAAAACTAGTTTTAATTCTTATATAGAAAGCATAAAATAGATCTTGAAAATCATCCTTTTTTTTCTTCTATTAAATTCGGGCTTTTCTACTACTAAATCTGGGTTTTTCTATTACAGACACAGCTCATCCTAGATTCAATTTCCGAGCTACAAAAAAAGGTGATTCTGATGTACATAAGACATTACAAATGAAGTGACAGTTTTTCAACATTTCATGCATTTGAATAACTGAAATATTTTACTATTTTCACTGAACATATATATCTTACTAGTAATGCTAATTAAGGGAGAAAAATGGTCTGAGCTGGGGACTAGTCATCAGCTTGGTTCTTAAGTTATGAGCCAAACACAGATAAGCTCAAATTTGTGAACCACTTAAACAAAAATATTTCATATTTTGCTTGTTTATTATCATGCCAAACATATACATGTTAGGTTGATGGCCATCAAATGCATCTATAATTTTTAGAGTCAACGCTTTGACTACATGCAAATCGGTTCAAGCTTTGACTACATGAAAATAGGTTCAAGTTTTCTTGATTTTTTTATTCTACCTCTTAGATTTGAGAATTTTTAAGTCCTCCCCTTCAAGCAACCTACAAATGCCAGTGGTATTTTAACAACATTTTCTTCTATAAGTCTCCATTTTCACCCAAAATTTCTATAGCACTTAACAGTCAATCCAAGGGTGAGGAGTAAACAAGAAGTACCAACCTATATCTGTTGTATCTAGATGGTTAAAGACGAGTGGTGCAAGGCTTTGGGCTCTTTTTGGGGACCTCAGTGCCAAATCCAAATGTTTGTGTGTAGGTGATGTGTCAACTTCTGTTCGACTAGATCATTGGACTTCCAACAAAATTATCACCGATCTATGAAAGTCATGGAGATTTGGGACTCTTTAACATTTCAAAAGGTCATGTACACTTGAATTTTATTTTTCAATCTTATCAAATCATTTAACTTCAGTGATCATGAGGTCGAAAACTGAGGTAAAGTAACACTTGGGGTCTTACCACTACATCTATGAGGTCATGTATAGCATTATTACCAGCTTCAAAAATATTACGTCGTTGGAAAACTTGAGACCTTGTTGTCAACCAAGAAAAAAAGAACAAGAAAGAAAAGGAAATAGTGGTATCAAGGAAGTTTTTTTGTTCAAAAATCTACATAGGTAAATTGTTTTTAACTTACTTTATAGCATCCCTAGCATCTTCACTCTTGTTTATACTCTTTTACATCACATCCTCAAAAGCAATGATCCTCTCCCCTTGCTCCATAAATCAAAGGATATGGTACAGTTTTGTCACACCCCACGCCGACCTTACTGTAAACAGCCCACACGGAACACAATAGAGAGATCGTAAATCATTTACATAATATTGCATTTCATTTCAATACAATCTTATCAAACGCAGAACAAAATATAAAAGATATCATATCTTAAAACATCAATTATAAGCAGAAGCTGCCTAAAATTTTATTTCCAAAATTTTCATTTACAGAGAAACTACAGAAAACCCAAAATATGTAACTATTAACAAACTATTGATCTCATTTCAGAGTTTTCTTATATTGGCAACAGAAAATATAACATAAAAATTGAACCAGACACTATTCTGGATCAACCTTATTCTTTCTCTTTTCTGTAAGATTAGTCATAATAATAATCTGATGTCACATAATCCTCAATTAGTATCATATATTATAGAATATTTGACTTCTCTATGCGCCCCATATTTATCTAGCACACTTGGTCATATAGCCCAGATAATCTGGTTATTTCCAACCACATTATTAAGATGAGAGTACCATGATCCAGGGAGGTTCAATCAAATGATATATGCTTAAGGTGTTAGACATGTGGAAAAGTATCATAATCAAGTGAGTACACTAACCATAGATATTTAGTATTTAAATCATAATCAGTAGTCAAACCTTAAAAAAATTTCATCTCCATTTTGATTTAATTATATTTCAAGCATCCAAGTTCCTTTAAATGAAAATTACAAGCTGTTGGATTTCCTTCGTACCATCTTGGGGGACATCCACAAAATATACATCTATATTCTTTCAAGGTGTAAATAACGCCTATTAAGCGCCAGACAAACTTCTATACCTTTGCAATTTTGCGCAATATATGTATTAGAAGTTCATGATAGCTATTATATAAGGGAAAAATAATGAAGTCTCCTCTAATATGCAAGTTTTGTCTTGAGTATCCTTCACAGGAAAAAATATTGCTGGAGCAAAACAAGACCTTAGAGAAGGAGGTGAGCTGTGTTGTTCCGAAGTTTCATAAGTTCTGCTTGCTTTGGCTATTACATTGTTGTTAAAAATTTTTTTTTTTTTAATTTGATCAGTCTCATCTTCTAAATAGATTATAGCTAAAGAGAAAGCCAAAGCATTGACGCAGATTGCACCTTGGGAGAAGCAAAACCTGTCCCAGTATAGCTCTGCACCCCTGCATGTGATTTCCGATTCTGTCCCAACTCCTACCAGGTATCGACGCAGATCTTGATGCTTCTTCTTTCTAGAACTTTAAAGTTATGTTTGGGACGGCTTTCTTACTGCTTCTTAAAGCAACTTTCTAGTAGAAATTTTTTTATTTTTTTACTAAAAAGCTGCTTCAAGAAGCAGTAAAAAAGCCGCCTCAAACAAAGCCTAAATCATGAATGCTACATAACTAGAAATCGAATGGCAAACTTGAATGAGTAAATCCTTTTCTTTTCACATACAGAACGTTTCAAGCAAGAGCCAATGAAGAAGAATCACCTCAGCCACAGTTAAGAGTAGGCAACACTTTACTACCACCATGGATGCTCAGTCATATAAATGGTTAAAAAGAATCTGTAATCAAATTTTAACAAGTTTCGCACTATCTGATGAATGATTAATGTAACCGGTCATATTAAGTATTGTACCCTTCCTTGTATATTTATAAATAACACAGCTTTGGCACAGTATGAAGTTAGCTAATTTTTAAGCATTGTAGAAGCTAAGGTCATTTGTATAGTTCCCTGAATTATGTCTATGATATCAATTTCTTTTGGACTGATGACTGCCTGAGTGGAGTCTGAGCGCAGATCTATTTTAGCTTGAGATTTCCACTTTGTGCCATTTATTGTATTAAATCAAACAACTTCTTAACACCATAAAGATATAGTTCTATCAACATCCTTGATTTTCATTTGGCTCGGTGGCATTTTCTACAGCATTGCAGTTTCTTTATTTGTCATCCTTGCTTTAATTTGGTAGCAATTCTAAGGGTTTATTAAAGCCTAACGCATATCTCTTACTTTTCGTTTGAGAAGACTTTCTTACTGCTTCTTAAAGTAGTTTTTTAGTGTTTACGGGACTTTGAGAAATTCTAAGACAACCTTTGGTGCCATTTCATATTTTTTATTTTTCTGAGCTTGTGGAGAGAGCTCCCCTGATAGTGAATGGTCTGATAGCTACTCAACATCCGTTGACTACTAGTAAGAAGAGGTTTAATGGTGAGATATTTGGCGGTTTATTTTTTTGGTAAAAAGAGTAGATTTATATCTGGAGACTCTAAGAAAGGTGAATAGTCTATTTCTATGATAGCTTCGAGTAGGGGTAGACGTCACTTCGATAAATGGTACAGGATGATTGACCAGTGTTTTAGATGCGGACAGACTAGACACATAATGATATAATGTCCATAGGTGGGATTTGTCCAACGATTTGAGCCCAAATGTGAGAGTTACTTAAGGCTAATAGGGAGATCGAGGATAGTTTCACTTTGTATATTTGTTGAGAGTTCTATTGGTAGAGGTAGTGGATCTGGTTCTATGGTAAGTAGATCATCTGGCAGTGGTTAGAGAGAGTCTAGTAGCAATATTGCTCCAGTTCTTGTTCAGTCACATGTATATAGTTTGACTTAGTAGGAACCTCGTCAATCTCTCGATGTTATAAGACTTATATTTTTATCATACATATCATATTTTATTCAATTATGAAGCTAGTCATTAATATATTATCGAGCATTTCTTTAATTTATTGTGTTTGCCTTCAGTTTTACTACCTACTTCTTTGTATGTTACTTTATCGACTGGAGATGGTATGATAACAGTAGTGTCGTCTTTTGTGATATTGAGATTTTTTATAGAAAGTAAATTTTCAGTTTGATTTTATTACCCATTTCTATATTTGATATTATTTTAGGTATGGAATGGTTAAGTCGGTATGAGGCTTAGATTGATTTCTTAAAGAAGTGAGTTATATTATTTTCGGGCAGTGAGAGTTACGTATTTTAGGATATTATAGGAGTTCTATCATGTTTGATTTCTGTTATGAAAGAATATAGACTATGAAAGATGGGTTGTATGGTATTTCTACCTTTTTGGCATTTATTTGGGATAGAAGTTTAGATTCTGGCTCTCTTCTAATGTCCCAAGAATATGAGATTTTTCAGATATGCTTTGTAAGGAGTTAGTCAGCTTATCTTCAGACAGAGATATATTAAAGTTCTGTATTGATGTATTTTCAGGGATGACCCTGATAGCTAAATCTCTATATAGGATGACACCTAAAGAGCTTTAGGAGTTGAAAGTTCAGCTTCAAGAGTTGGTTGATAGAGGATTTGTTCATCTTAGCATGTCTCTATAAAGAGCACATATTCTATTTGTGAAGAAAAATTATGGTGCAATGTGCATGTGCATTGACAACAGGGAGTTGAACAAAGTCAAATATCAAGAACAAGTATCAACTATCACGGATTGATGATCTATTCGATTAGCTTGCTGGATGTTTTTCATTCTCAAAGATTAATTTACGATCTGATTGTTATCAGGTGAAGGTGAGAGAGTTGATGTGATGAAGATAGCTTTAATACAAAGTATGTACATTCTGAGTTCTTAGTCATGCGTTTTGGGAAGACGAATGCACCATTTATTTTTATGGATCTGATGAACAGAGTGTTCAAATATTTTTTAGATTAGTTAGTTATTATTTTCATATATGGCATTCTAGTTTATTCTGGTTCTGAGGAAGACCATGTCACGTATTTGAGAATTTTTTAAAAGACTTTGAGGCAGCATCAACTTATACAAAATTCTCCAAATATATGTTCTAGTTGAGGAATATTTCTTGGCACGTGGTGAGTGGTGCTGGTATCTCTATAAATCCCTAAAAAGTTTAAGCAGTTATGAATTAGTTGAGGCATACTACTGTGTTTGAGGTACATAGTTTCTTGGGTATGACTAAATATTACCAAAATTTTGTGAAGTGGATTTCTCAAATTTTTACACTCTAAAGAGACTGATAAAAAAGTCAATAGCTTTTTTCCAAACACCAGAGTGTGAGACTAATTTTTAGTGATTGAAAGATTATTTGACTTCTGATCCAGTTTGGCTCTTTTAGTTGGTATAGAATAATTTCAGGTATTCAGTGACGCTTCACTAAAAGGGGTTGAGATATGTATTGATGCAATACAGTAGAGTTATAGCTTATGCTTCCAGACAATTGAAGTCTATATGAGAGAAATTATTCAACACATAATCAATAGTTAGTTGTTGTTGTTGTATTTTCTATAAATATTTGGTGGAATTACTTATACGATATCAGGTGTAAGATTTTCACTGATTATCAGAGTCTAAAATATATATCAACTTAGAAGGAATTAAACTTGTGGAAATGGAGATGTCTTGAGTTAATCAAAGACTATGATCTAATTATTCAGCATCAACCTGGTAAGACTAATGTGGTGGTTAACGCTCTCAGCATAAAATTTTATGTAGTTTTATTTCTTCAGCTTACTTATGATGATTTTAATATAGGATATGTAGATATTATAGTTAGAGGTGATTTCTTCTACTGATTAGGATTACGATATATTAACTTAGATGATTATTCAACCTTCTTTGTAAGAAATGATTCAAAAATCATAGTAGTCAGATATAAAGTATCCAAAGTTAATTGATCTGATTAAATCTGATAAGAAATCTTAACTATGTGTATTTGATTCTAGTATTGTTTTATACAAGGATCGATTATGGGTTCCTACTTTTAGCGATCTAAGATGAGAGATTTTGTAGGAGGCTTACTATTTAGATTACACTATTTATCTAGAAAGCAGTAAAATATATAGTAATTTAAAAGATATTTTTTGGTGACATGGATTAAAGAATGATATAACAGTTTTTGTATCTAAATGTGAAGTTTGTTAGTTAATGAATGCAGAGCATCAATGACTAGGAGGTCTTCTGCAACCATTACTCATTCCATAGTGGAAATCGGAATAGGTGACAATGAACTTTGCAATAGGTTTTCCTAGGTCGAGATAGAGACATGATGCTATCTGGATGAACTTAATTGTTTGACAAAATCAGCCTATTTCATTCTAATCTGACAAACTAATATGGTTGATAAGTTGGCGTATATATATGTGCGTATGATCATCAGATTATATGTGATATAAAAGGTTATAATTTCTGACATGGATGATAGGTTTACCTCCAGACTATGAGGATGTATTCAACAAGGTTTGGGAACAAAATTGCATTTAAGTATTGTATTTCATCCTCATATTGATGGACAACTTGAGAGGACTATACATGTATTAGAAGATCTACTGAGACTCACTATTTTTTATATTTTGGTGGCAGTTGGGAAGACCGCATTTCTTTTATTGAATTTACATATAATAACAATTTTCAGTCAAATATAGGTATGGCTCGATACAAAGCTATGTATGCTAGGAAGTTTTGCACGCTGAGGTGTGAGAGAGAAATCTAATTGGGTCTGCCTTAGTTAATGATGCTATTGAAAAGATCTGTTTGATCAAAGATAGATTAAAGGCTTTATAGGACAAGCATCAGCAGTATTTTTATGTTAAGAAATGGGCTATGGAATTTTAGGTAAGAGATTTGTATATGTGAAGACCTGGTCGATAAAAGGCATTAGTAGATTTGACAATGAAGGAAAGTTGGGTCCAAGATCATTGGACCATTTAAAGTAATTAAAAGGATTAAGAAAGCTACCTATAGGTAATAGTTGTCAAATCACATGTCATAAATTCATAATCTGTTTCATGTGTCACTCTGAAGAAAATGAAAATCTGATTTTGAGTATAAAATATATGTTGAAGATATTGAGATACGTCTGAATTTTAGCTACAGTGAAGAATCAGAGAGGATTCTAGCCTACGATGTTAGAAAGCTAAAGAGTAAATAGATTTCTATGGTTAGTTCAGTGGAATAGCGGGATTGAAAGAGAAGCTATATTGAATAAAGAGTCTAAGATGAGATAATTATACACATATCTGTTTATATGATATGAGACCTGATTTTTGAAATATCCAGGATGATATTTTTTTTAGGAGGGGGGAGTTATAATACCTCACTCAGAAGAAAATGAAAATCTGATTTTGAGTATAAAATATCTGTTGAAGATATCGAGGTACGTCTGAATTTTAGCTACAGTGAAGAATCAGAGAGGATTCTAGCCTACGATGTTAGAAAGCTAAAGAGTAAATAGATTTATATGGTTAGTTCAGTGGAATAGTGGGACTGGAAGAGAAGCTATATTGAATAAAGAGTCCAAGATGAGATAATTATACACATATCTATTTATATGATATGAGACCTGATTTTTGAAATGTCCAGGATGATTTTTTACACTTTAAGCACTATAATGTAATGAAATGTGTATAAATATGATTTAAAAATGTTAGTCTGGAGATATAAGGGGCTTATAAGGCATATTCTTGTGCTATAAACCATGTTCTGGTGACTACAGTCATGTTCTGATGCTTTAAGTACAAAAATGAAGTCATAAGAGGTCAAAATCCCTTTGAGACTATGTCTGGGTCTAAGAAATGAAATATGATATGAAGTGCTTTGTAATATTAACTGCTCTATGATATAATTTTTAATTTATTTATATGTTCAACAAGATTATTTAAATATTTGGATAACTGATATGCTTTTATTATCTTTCTCAATATAGTAATTTATTAAATTGTATTTAACTATTTTTAAATATTCAACAAAATATTTAATATTTTTTTTTTGAAAATTTAGGTTGGTTTGTGTAGTCAGTTGAGCCGTTGTGGCTTTGCTTTTGGTTTTCAGAATCTAGAAAAGGTAAGGAGCTGATTGATCAATGGTTTTAGGATTCGATCTGAGTTTATAGGTATTTCTCTATTCTGATTT